AGAGGGGTACCTTCTTTCTTTAATTCTTATATGTGCTTCAGTTTAATGAATAAAGTAAGATCTCATATAAATCATTTATCTTTTATGATCTTTTACTCCTTTCAAATTTTTCCAAAAAATTGAAGAAAAAATTCTCAAAACAATAAACACAAAGGCAGGGGACACAAATTTCTTTGGGTAATTTTACTGAAAACTGTGGAATTGTTGTCGTCTTCCTTTTTTCCTTTGATTTTGTTTAGGATTTTATGATAATTGTAAATGATGTACTGCATATATAACTATGTAATTGTATAAATTATTGTGATATATTTCTAAATATTTCTAAAAAAGTAAAAGTAAAAAATTATTTATTTCTGAAATGTATAACAAAAACATACAAAATTAAGTGTTTCATTAGAAAATATTTAAAAAACTCTAAAAGTAGAGGTTGTGGGAATATTTCCCCCCAATTCTAAAAAAATATAAAAATAGAAATAAAAGGAAAAGGAAAGGAAAGGATACGGAAAGTTACATATTTATTGTTTAGTGCACTATATTTAATATAAATTGGTGGTGGATTATTAGTATTTTTCGACGATGAACTACCAACTTATAGAAATAAAAATTATAGATGTATATCGTTAAAAAAAAAGTAAAAAAAGCTTTATGGAGCGTGAAAGAGATATAGGTTCTATGAAAACGGGCATTTTAAAGCATCTTTTTAGTTCGCGCTGATTTTTGACATTCTTTATGTTTTGATTTTATCTTTTACTCTTTGTTTTTATTCTTTTCTTTGTAATGTCGTCTTTGCTTTCTTCGATTCTTTTGCAAACATAGCATGTGCTAGAATTAAAAACCTCAACAAAATATGCTGAGTGGCAATATTCTAAAAAATGGCACATTTTAAAAACAAATTGTTACAAATAAAAAAACCTTTTCATAAAAAAAACTTGGAAGAGACGAGGAAGAGACTATAACTGTACTATGGTTTTAAAAAATTGCAACTGTACTTAATTACATTATTTCTCCAAATATTATGAAAAAAAAAAATCCGAGCATGTTCTTAATATTTATTTTTCCAAAGTATGAGTAATATAACAAATATTACAGTCGTCGTCGTCTGTATAAAGAAGACGACTTTATATCTTAATTTTGATTCCTACCAAGCTTTCAACACTTTAATATTTAAACAAAGACGATATGTAAATTAACAGCTTCTCTTTGTTTACAGTTAAACTTGTAATTTAAAAAATGCTTATTAGGGATCAAAGCATTGTTAATATTGTATTGATTTAATCGCTGACCACTTACTGTGATGAAATAAATTCGTAATAATTTTAGCATCACATTTTTACAAAAGAAACTTTAAACAAACTAATATAGAAGATAAAAGGAGTCATGGTACATTTTCAATTTTAGCTTTGAATTAAAATTAATTTTTTATGAATTCTGCTAAAGTCAAATCAAATCACGATAATAGTTCAGGAATGGTTATAGATACTCAGATTATTACAGGTTAGATAATTTAGATTATTACAGGTTAGATAATCAGATTATTACAGGTTAGATAATCAGATTATTACAGGTTAGATAATCATATTATTACAGGTTAAATAATTATATTATTACAGGTTAGATAATCAGATTATTACAGGCTAGATAATCATATATTATTACAGGTTAGATAATCATATTATTACAGGTTAGATAATCAGATTATTACAGATTAGATAATCAGATTATTACAGGTTAGATAATCATATTATTACAGGTTAAATAATCAGATTATTACAGGTTAGATAATCAAATTATTACAGATTAGATAATCAGATTATTACAGATTAGATAATCATATTATTACAGATTAGATAATCCTGAAATCCTGAAAACTTTAGAATGAGATATCCTTAATCCCGATTACTTAATCTGAGTATCCAATGGACACACTTTTGATTTTCTTCTTAAAAATCCGGTTTTTAAAATTAAAGAGTTTGATCCTCCCGTTTCTGTATATTAATCTTAAATGGCGTGCAAAATTTCAAATTTATAAAATTTATACGCGCGTGAATCTGATTGGTTGAATTGTATAAAAGTTGTAGTATTAAACAGATTTTGTTCAACTATATACGCAACCAATCTGAAAACGATTATATCCCACAGCAGCCTGAGAATCTCAGGTTTGCTCCTATTATCATATCATACAAAATCTGACATATGCCCGTCGTTCAAAACCTGAAATTCTCAGGTTTTATCCTATACCCCCTTTCATTTTCCTTTACAGTCCCTTTAATAAGAAGGAAAGGGTTAGAAAAGAGGCAGCAACGGGATGGTTTGTTAAAAGTCCTGTTATGGTCTATCTTCTTTTTTTTCTTAGTTTTTATTTCATTTGTACAGGGTTACCCATAATGGAGGAGATTTCAAAGACGACTATACGGAATTCAAACTGTCTGTTTCTTAATATTTATGATTCCCTGCAATTGCTCAATCATTTGATAAGCTCTTAAAAGGCTATACAATGATTACCAGAAGCTGCTGAAGTGCATTTAATGTTGTTGCAAAGCAAATAAGTTGATAATAAATTATTAAGTCACTTATTAAGTAAAATTTGTATGTTTACTCTGCACAATTGTTGTGTCCCATTCTCATTGGGTTATTTAAAGTCATAACTTAAGTTTAAAAGTCGAATTCAAATTCCAGAGTTTTCTGGTTATTACTGTATATGCAGATAACAGAAGATTTGATTTAGATAGTCGGATTTTAGAGTTTATGTCGTCTTTACAGTCCTGTTCAGTCATCAAATATATTTATATTTTGGTAAGAAAAGCAGCAGATAAACATGGTATCACAAATACAAAGTAACAATTAACTATTTGTTTACATCATTTCCAACATCATTATTCTCTATTTATTTCTTATCATCTCTCTATAAGGAATATATATTATATATATATATTTATCCGATTAGAAACAGTCTCCTTGCAATTTACTTCTGTATCTCTGTATCCACATCTTTTCGGTATCCTTGGATATCAATTACTCTCGTGTATCCACTTCATCTCTGTATCCACATCTTTTCGGTATCCTTGGATATCAATTACTCTCCTGTATCTACCTCATCTCTGTATCCTTGGATATCAATTACTCTCCTGTATCCACCTCATTTTTGTATCCTTGGATATCAATTACTCTCCTGTATCTACCTCATCTCTGTATCCTTGGATATCAATTACTCTCCTGTATCCACCTCATTTCTGTATCCACCTCATCTCTGTATCCTTAGATATCATTTACTCTCCTGTATCCACCTCATCTCTGTATCCACATATTTCGGTATCCTTGGATATCTATTACTCTCCTGTATCTACCTCATCTCTGTATCCTTGGATATCAATTACTCTCCTGTATCCACCTCATTTCTGTATCCTTGGATATCAATTACTCTCCTGTATCCACCTCATCTCTGTATCCTTAGATATCAATTACTCTCCTGTATCCACCTTATCTCTGTATCCTTGGATATCAATTACTCTTCTGTATCCACCTCATCTCTGTATCCTTGGATATCAATTAATGTCCTCTATCCACCTCATCTCTGTATCCTTGGATATCAATTACTCTTCTGTATCCACCCACATCTCTGTATCCTTGGATATCAATTACTCTCCTGTATCCACCTCATCTCTGTATCCTAGGATTTCAATTACTCTCCTGTATCCGCCTCATCTCTGTATCCTTGGATATCAATTACTCTTCTGTATCCACCCACATCTCTGCATCCTTGGATAACAATTACTCTCCTGTATCCACCCACATCTCTGTATCCTTGGATATCAATTACTCTCCTGTATCCACTTCATTTCTGTATCCTTGGATATCAATTACTCTCCTGTATCCACCTCATCTCTGTATCCTAGGATATCAATTACTCTTCTGTATCCACATCATCTCTGTATCCTTGGATATCAATTACTCTCCTGTATCCGCCTCATCTCTGTATCCTTGGATATCAATTACTCTTTTGTATCCACCTACATCTCTGTATCCTTAGATATCAATTAGTCTCCTGTATCCACCAAAATCTCTGTATCTCTTGATATCAATTATTCTCCCGTATCCACCTAACCTCTGTATCCTCGGATATCAATTACTCTATGTATCCACCTCATCTCTGTCTACTTGGATATCAATTACTCTCCTGTATCCACCCATATTGCTTTATCCTTGGATACCAATTACTCTAGCTGTATCCACTCACATCTCTATAACCTTGGATATAAATTACTCTCCTGTTTCCACCTCATCTCTGTATCCTTGGATATCAATTACTCTCCTGTATCCACCTCATCTCTGTATCCTTGGATATCAATTACTCTCCTGTATCAGTCCTTTCCTCTGCCCTATACTCTCTAATGTCCTGTGTCCTGAACAAAAATTGAAATTAATTAAAATTATTTTTAAATTTGGTAAACAAAGGGAATCACATATCTCTGAAAACTGATGGTGTACACCTTTTATATTTCAAATTGAAATTAGATGATCAAACAGAATTCATAGTTTGAAATGTGGAGGGCTTACCGTATACATTGGGTTTCAAAGATATAGGTATTGAAAATCAGAGCTTGTGGCCAAGACTTAATTCCTTTCACACCTTTCTAATCAGTTAAACTAGTATAAAGTTTGCAAGACTGCAAAAAAAAATTTAATAAAGTAACCTTTTTTTGAACAATCTACGTATTTTTAGGAGACATTTTAGGTTTTATAAATTTCGTCTGAATCATTCATGGAGATATTCATCAGAATTCATAAATATTTGATAAACTAAAACGTAGAAATAGAAACATGAATAAGTTTTCTAAAAAGCATTAAAATTTCAAGTTTTGCTAAGTAGAAATTCAATTTTCCCATTTAATACCTTCAGAGCCTTAGAAAAGTTTTGTGGAATTATTCTAATTATTTCCAAAAATAAACTATAGACTTCCGAACTTAACTAAATTCATGAAAAATATTTTTTTTTCTTTCTTTAAATAAATGATAATTATTCAACGAATTTATAAATCTAATTAATCCCAAAAATTGAATTTAAATCATCATTTTTAGAATACTAGGTTTTTATAAGCCCTTCGTTGCGTCCATACTCTATTATCAACTATGAACATTTTCTTTTGCGGATTTTATAAAAAAAAGTTCGTGGATTTTCAGAAATTAATGCAAATCGAATTTTGTTGGACGCAACTCATCTATGTACCTTCCTTGGGTACATGTGAGGTACCACACAAAATATGGGCCTGATCGGTTCTGCCGTTTTGACGTTATAAATATAAATAATAATAAATAATAATAAAAATATAAATAATAACAAAAAGCAAAGTATGTGTATATATATATTCAAGATTATTTTCCCGTTTTAAAAAATTTAGAGATTTCTGGCGTTTAGAAGGTTCCACAAAAAATCAGAGAAATTTGACATTTAATAACTGTATGCTTTAAAATTTAACTTTTCATACACTTATTAGACTATCAGGGTCAACATACTGCATAATTCATATCAGAAAACTTTTGAATCTTATCATTTGTGGATAATTATACTGGACATTTTACAGCTATAACCATTATAAAGTGGAATGAAAATTGTCAATATTAAAAGGAGTGTTCGCGAAAAACGATAGGGGGTGTTGAAATGAATACTAATATCGAATTGAATTCGATATCGATCGCTTCTAATCTTACCTTTATCTGGATTAATTTAATCTTAATTCTATATCCAGTGTAATCGTACTCTGCAGGATCGAATTGAAAGTGCCGCAGTGGATATCGAGATCAAGCGTTTGGGATTACAGATTGGGTATTCATTGATTTAACACAAAAGTTTCCAGCTCTGAACATTTTCAGAGATATGATACAGGGTTACCCACAAAGGATGTGATTGTAAAGACGACCTAAAACTCTGTAAATATGATGATCCCAATGTTATATTAAGTCTTCTACTTGAATAAAGTCTTTTGATAACTTATTTTATAATTTAGAAAAGAAAGAATTAAGTTTACAATTGCAGGGAATCATAAATATGAGGAAACAAACGATACAATTCCCTACAATCGTCCCTGAAATCTCATCCTAATTGTGAGTAACCCTGTATTTAGCACGTTAGAAATAAAAAAATTTTAAGTACAGGGTGTCCCAAGAAACATGACAGTTGGTGAATAATTTAGGATGTCTTCTTCCACATACTGTATTATGATATGAAAGACTTTTTGTAGTTTATTTCTTTAAAAAAATGTTTAACTCATATATTTTACTGGGAAATCAATTTTACTATAATATAACTGTCATATAAAAAATGTTATTAGTCACTTTAGTATCAAACAACTTGTCAAATTATGGAAGAAGACATTTAAAACTATTCACCAACTGTCATGTTTCGTGGGACACCCTGTATTAAATTTTTAAACGAAAATCTTAAACAAATATGAACTTTTCACCTAACGATGGCAGACGCTTTCTTTTGAACAGAACCTAGGCTTTCACTCGTCTTTTTCTGAACCATCTGTAGCTCACTTGTTGCTTTCTCTTTAGCAAGCAATAGCTCAGAAGCTGTTTTCTCTTTAGCAACAAGAAGTTCGGTAGTTGCTTTTTCTTTTACGGTCGCAGCTTTTTCTTTAGCTTTCTCCAGTTCAAGAACAGTTTTCTGATACATCGTGTCCTATAAACTTTTTTGTTTTAATATTATTAGAAAACGATCTTTGTTAAGTTTTTGCAATAATAAGATACTGAAGATCCATTTGTTTTTGCTTTCACCCATGGCTTACAGAAACACATTATTTTGTATAATTTATCTTGGGGGGGGGGGGGGGCTTACATCCCTCGCTCCCATAACTTTTCTCTCGGGGGTGACATGGCTCAATAATTATAAAAGTGTGGGCTTTTTTAAAAAGATTTTTGACCTGCACTTTTTAAAAACATTTTGGAAAGTTAAACAAGTTTGAAGTTGGAGGAGTTGGAGGGTTCTAGTGAAATCCGTTCTTGAATCATGGGGAGCAAACCAAAAAAAGGGGGCGGGTAAAATTTATAAAAAAATATTATCAAAGTAAGTTAGAATCTAAAATGAAAGGATTAAAGGGACTGTAAGTCTAATTTCAAGTGGACTTCCATTTAAATATGCCCATGTCAGATTCAGAACTTTACCCTGATCGTAAATGTGGAAGAAAACGTTGTTTTTCTGAAACGAAAAGTGTTAAATTCAAATATTTCTTTATTGCTTCTTATAAGCAAGAAATGCGCCTGTCACTTTCGAAGATAAACCGCAAATGAAAATCAAAATTTCATAGGAACAAAAACATGAATATATGATTCATACTTGATGAAACAAAGCTCTCAAGGGTACCGTTGTGAATCGGGCATTGCAATCTTTACATGGAGGGTCATTTGAAATTACGCTTACAGTCCCTTTAAGATAAAATTTACCTGTATGCATCGGAGCAGGACATTTTTGGAATATAATCCTTTGTATGATCGGAGTAGGATACACGAATACCGTCTTCTCCAACAGTAGCTGTTATCTAAATGATATTGTATCTTTGTATTGTAGGATACAGGATAACCATCCTGTAGACTGTAGAGGTGGTTATCTAAATGATATTGTATCTTTGTATTGTAGGATACAGGATAACATCCTGTAGACTGTAGAGGTATTTATCTAAATAATGTTGTTATATTTTAGGGGGTCCTTGGGAGGGGGTGACTGTTTTGTCACAATACTCCTCTTAAAATGTATTTGCCTAGTACGTTTCATGTTAAGAATGGACAATATATTCTGATAATCTTTTCATTTACAAACATTGTATGAGTTGTAGCTAGCATTGATTTATAATGGTTTCAATTTATAATTACTTTTCCCGTTCATAAATTTATCCTTGAATGAATCTTGTAATCCCTGTAATATATTTAGATGTCGTCTTTGTTGCAGCGAGTATTTCGGAAGAAAAACATATATTTTATAGCAAAAGCACAAGAAAGCATGAAGGGTTTCGGTATAATCTAAATATATAAATAGATTCTAACAGCCATATAGAAAAGATTTAGGGGCTTCAGCAGCACCCCAAATCCTTGATTTAGTCAAGAGTAGCGTATTGAAAAATCCTATTTTAAGAGTTTTTAATGAAATAGCGGGTTTTTGGTCAAAATTCTTAACTAAAACATAACATTTAAACAAACGGAATAATCTTATTTTGGCTGACCCCCCCCCCCCCCATAATACCCCACGGTGTCACATGTCCTTTTCACATCGGTATCCTTTCAAGCTTTGTATGATCAGGGATGCTAAAGAAACAATGGAGAAATTGTTGAAATTGAGCATCTTACGCATTACTGATCTAAGAAAATTTGTATAGGTACTTTTGTGAATCAGGCATACTCCTCTTTTTTGTAATGAAAAATCCTTTTGAGAAATAAAAAATACCTGGTCTCCAGATGCAAAATATTCCTGCTCCAGGTTTAACTGCTCCTCCCCGCATAGTAGATCAGGGGGCAGAGAATAGTTAATACTCTCCGTCCTCTCCTCATCCTCATCTTCGTCCTCCCTAGTCTCCAGGTACCCGGATACATCCTCCCTGGCATAGAACCTCGATATCTCTTCCCTGGGATAAGAGGAGGACAGAACGAGATCAGGGAGTGAGTCCTCGTGATACTCGTCACTAGAAGAATCACTCATTCTAGCTACTGCGCTTTAGATACATTCTAGCTAGCGCTTTAGATACATTCTAGCCAGCGCTTTAGATAAATTCTAGCCACAGCGCTTTAGACACATTCTAGCCTCAGCGTTTTAGAAACATTCAAAACTTCTTTGCTGGAGAAACAGAACAGTTACAATCTAAGATTAAATTATTATATATCATTTTACTTAATGGAACATTGTGCTATAAAGATATAGGGATTAGAAAATATTACATGATTAGTAGGGCCGGTGGAGTATTATTAGAGGTAAAAGAGGAAAAATGACTCAATACGGAAGCAGAATTGTTGCTCGAAATTTGCGTCAATGTTTTCCTTACAATTTTTGCAACTTTTGCGCACATTTTTTCGTCCAGTATTTGCGCATTTTTAAAGCGGAATTTGGGCATTTTTTTCGCATAATTTACAAGCTTTTCGCGAAATTTGCACACATATTGTCCGTGCAAATTCAGTTCCATTTTCCCTAAATACCATCTGCCCTATATGCCATTTGCTTTATGATTTACCACGTTGTATGCTTTATAACCTTAACAGACGCTAAAAAATAACTGTATAGGATCTGTATTTCCGCCGTCCAAAAGCAGTCTTCTTCGTAAGTATTTTTTATTAAAAAAATGAAGTTTGACACGATATATTACATTAACTGCGGTGGTTAACAGTCTTATCTAATGTAAAAATCACAGAATAGACTTCTTAGGAATTACTAAAAAAACTTGACTTTGTAAAAATCAAAGTGGAAAAAAACACAGTACGAAGATTAGTAAACCGTTCAATGACCAAGACAGCCATAAATATTGTTTATAGAGCAAATGATGTGTTTAGTCCTAGACCAAATGACGTGTAGAGCGAGTGGGGGAAGGCAGGCGGTCATGAGCCACCAATATTTCCTCTTCCTTACCACCACATTTGACTCTTCCGGGCAAAACTACTTTATAATTAATTTTTATTTTAAAGTGTTAATATGAAAAAAGGATGATTCCTCTTAATGAAAACTGCAAAACTTTTTTTGCAAATCTAAATTCTGATTTTCATAAAAAATGGCTTTTTTTTGAGAGTAATATGAATATTAAAAATGACGCACCATAAAATACACTTTAGTTTTGACTTGTGTGAAAATGTGAAATGTTTTTAGAGAAAATTGCTAAAAAAACGTTTTTTTTTTGATAAAATCTGTAACGCGTAAGAAATGACATGTAAATATTGTGATTTTTATTATATTTTCTTATTCTTTTTTCTGCTCCCACAATACGAAAAATGACTTAGTTTACCTACTACTAAAATCTAAAACAAGTGACCTCTTTTTTATATTGATATATTATGATCTTATGTAGAATTGAAAAAATGGTTTGAGTTGTACTTTTTTGCTGGACGCGGCTGGATTTTTTGAAATCACATTTAAAAAAGTAGTTTAGCCGGGAAGAGTCAAATGTGGTGGTACGGAAGGGGAAATAGTGGTGGCTCATGGCTGCCGGAGGAGAAAAAAGATAATATTATTATATTATAAAGATTTATTCACACACAAAGATATAAATACATATATAAATGGTGTAGTTAAAATTTGTTTAAATAAATTTTTTTTTTTTTTTTTTTTTTTGAAAACACAGGTTTCCAAAAGAAAAGAGAAAAAAATATGCAAAATTATGCACAAATAGAAAACAATGATTTTTGGGGGGGGAGCCCGGCTGCATACCCACCACCTCTGCATGCAAGCAAAGGGAAGCTTCAATTAGGGGAAAATAGAAGTAGAGCTAAAATATGATGTAATATCATTAGTTTATTGAAATATTTCTTGAGACAGGAACATTCCATATCGTTCAAAGCCTGAGATTCTCAGGTTTTATCCTATACCCCCTTTCATTTTTCCTTTACAGTCCCTTTAAAATGACACGAACAGTTGCATTAAAATGACGCGTACAGTTCCTTTAAAATGACGCGTATACAGTCTCTTTAAATCTGACCTTCTGAATAGTTTTCTTGAATTCCTCAATACTCTCTCCGATATCTGAGAAGGTTTCTCCAACCTTGAGATATACTCCGGACTCTTGAACCTTCTTCAACCCGACCTGAAACCATTTATACGATAAATGTATTAAAACCGGAGATATAATAGTACATATTAATTCAAAAGGCTTGTAACTGCGATATTTTTCACTGCAGGTTTTTTTTTGTGTTCAACTGAAATACACGAACCATAAACAAACGTCAATATTCAGAGATATTTAAGGATCCTTTGGATACAGAATACAAAACCTTTGAAAATATACTAAATTCAGAAATTATATTTTATGTTAAAAGTATTACTTTAAAGTTGTAAAACTTAACCCCTGACACCATAGTTTCAGTAAAAGTAAATATTTCCATTTACTGATAGCGCTGATTGAAGGATTCATATCTCTAATTGGTTAATGAGATAGATAGAAAGATAGATGTTACCGCCAAACTATTTCTTTTGGTTCAGAATAGACGACAAACACATGACTGAACCCTGATTGGATCAGGCACTAATGAACTCGGCATACAGGAGTGCCCTGAAAGGGTATTATATGCAACAAGTGGCCGTTATAGTTTCGTGGAAACTAGGACTGATTAGCCTATCCAATAAGAGATTATGAGCAGTCTGTGTATATCTAGTCTATGATTAAGACGGCCAATCATATTTTTTTTTGTAAGCTGATTTGAATTTTTAAACTTAGATTATTTGATTTAACAGAATTTATAAAGTATGACATATCTACGACATTGGGTTGTAAAGATAAAGAAATTAGAAAATCAGAATTTGGGTTAAAGACCTTTTTTATTCTTAATATTCAAACTCTGATTAATTTATTATCTCTTAATTAATAATAATTGATTTAATATATACCAGAGTCCCATGTGTTTATTGCTTTTAGTTGAAAATAAAATAAATATTTACACATAATTGATAGAAATTGGGATCGAAAATAAAAGCGCACTGACTCTCATCGAAGTTTTTACCTTGATATCTGTAGAAAATTCTCTCCAAGCTGTGATACCAAGTCTTGTCTTCAGCATATTCGCATGCCTGAAATATATTAAAGTTATACTGCTAAAATTGTCATTTTTAACGAGAAATTTCGCATATTTTATTTGGTTTTCCAGGAAATTCCGCATCTTTTTCGCTTCCTTTCGCAAAAAACAATTTAAAAAATCAGAGTTATCTCCGTACCTAACTTTTATCACACTTATCTCCGTACCTAACTTTAATCAGAGTTATCTCCGTACCTAACTTTAATCAGAGTTATCTCCGTACCAAACTTTAATCAGAGTTATCTCCGTACCTAAATTTAATCACAGTTATCTCCGTACCTAACTTTAATCAGAGTTATATCCGTACCTAACTTTAATCAGAGTTATCTCCGTACCTTACTTTAATCAGAGTTATCTCCGTACCTAACTTTAATCAAAGTTTTCTCCATACCTGACTTTAATCAGAGTTATCTCCGTCCCTAACTTTAATCAGAGTTTTCTACGTACCTAACTTTAGCCAGGAGCTGAGTTCTGAGATCTTCTATTTCCTTTTCCGTCCTGCCCAGCTCATCCCTCCAGTCATTCCGCTGAGCTTCTCTGCTAACCAAACTCAGGCTGAAAAAATATGTTTTATAACTTTTAAACAAAGTTATTACAGTATAGAATCCCTAATATTTACATTGCAACCCTGAAAAAAGGGATGCATTGTAACTTTATTAACATGCAATCAGATTTCTAGTTTCAGGGGTTGCTATAATTGCAAATTGCAATATGTAACATAATTGAAAAAATTATATATCTTCCCATTCACGTGACGCAATGGCGATGGAATAATAATTGTTGGCAAGCAAAGGAAATGTTATATATTCCCTCATAAATTTATTGCATCTTTGCCTCCCTGTAAGGGAGAGATAAATAATTTAAAGAATTTGAGCCGCGGCTTAAATTTAAGTCGCGGCCCAAATATGGTTGGTTCCACTTAAAACCGTATTCAATGTTTCAAGATGTAAGCCGGCTCGGCTCTCAATTAAAACCGGTTTTTTTTTTGGCGGATTAACTACGGTTAACTTGAGACATATCCCAGATATTTGTTCAAAAGGGGCCAGATCAAGAAATTATTTCTATTTGAAATCCAAGGCAAAACATCTTATTTTCGTTATTTGAGAAATATAGATGATTATGTACATTTAAGTAGTAAATTGGCTTATTTCTGATATTGATTCCAAAAATTGGAATATTTCTGATATTGATTCCAAAAATTGGAATATTAAGTCAATCTTAAAACTAAGCGAGAAATCCCTCTAAAGTACATTGGTTATTCCTTTAAATTTTTAGCACAATTTCATAGGTTCTTTGTTCGTCTATTTTCGTTACTTCTTTGCATTAATTTTTCTAATTTCAGACATAATTGTGAGAAATAGTCTTTTTCATCTTATTCTTCATCATTAATCATGCAAGAGCCACGGAGAAAATAGAAAAATCAGAAAAACAAATCCTTTTATTCATGTATTCATTCATTTATTTATTCATTTATTCATTTTTTCATTTATCCATTTATTTATTTATTCACTTATTCATTTATTCATTTATTCATCCTTTCATCCTTTCATTTATTCATTTATTCATTTATTCATTTATTCATTTATTCATTTATTCATTTATTCATTTATTCAGTTATTCAGTTATTTATTTATTCATTTATTCATTTATTCATTTAATCATTTATTCATTTATTTATTTATTCATTTATTCGTTTATTCATTTATTTATTTATTCATTTATTCATTTATTCATTTATTCATTTGTTCATTTATTCATTTATTCATTTTATAATAATAATAACGACCTATGGTACTGTTTAGATAATGTCTCCGTAAAATCCTCGTCTTCGCTTGAAATTGTCAGGTTTAGATAGGATCTAGAAATATAATTATCATTCAGTATTTTCTTACAGGATGTCTCACATCATATTAGATCGTTTATGGCTCTTTTCAAATTTAAAAAGAAGGAATCATTTTAAAAAATGTATAAAACTAATATAAATATTTTCTTAATGTTTTTAGTATTATTTGCGTATTTTGGCGTTAAAGCTTGAAGATAATCCAATATTATATGGGACGCTCTGTATATTCAGCAGTAAAGACGACTTTAAGGGACTTTAAGTGTATTGTCAAGTGACCCTTCCTGAAATGAATGCGATGCCCGTTTTAAAGCGAAATGCGCAAGCCACTTAGCACAGAGAAACCACAAATGAAAATAAACAAGAAGGAATAAAAAAATGGATATCCAAATCATATTTGAGCAGAGAAAGCTTTTAAGGGTACCGTTGTAAATCGGGTTTTGTCATCTTAGCATGGATGGTCTCTTAAAATTAAGCTTACAGTCCCTTTAAAGGAACCCCGAACCGTTGACGTCTTTTTAGGTGATTTTTTATTTGAGACATTATATTATTCGCATTTCGGAATTAGGGACGACTCTTTTATCAAAATTTGTAATAACGGGAAAAACTGAATTTTTCAAATATTATTTTTATGTTGGATGGGTTCCATCAAGTATCTTTTATCTTCAAAGGGTTTCACACAGAAAACTATATTAAATATAAATTTGCACATATATGCAGAATAAAGAATGGATTTGAATATATCTTGCCATTGTGCATCAAATTTGGCTTAGTAATTTGGTGATATTCATATAGACTGACATTTGTTAACCCTATCCCAGTTGGGCTATTTAGGTTGGTTGGTGAAGAGGGGGGGGGGTTCCTCCAGGGAAGTATTTAAAGAATTATCCAAGGATTTTTTGGGTTTTGGCCCCATTTTCGCCACAAGATTGGCGAAAGCCAGATTATATATAGAATCTTCCAGAATTCTATGAATGTACTTTAAAGTTGTGTGAAAGCCTTGAATTGAGAAAGCAGTGTGTAAACTGCCTAAAACACTCTTTAAAAAAGTAGTTTAGCCGGGAAGAGTCAAATGTGGTGGCCCGGAAGAGGACATAGTGGTGGCTCATGGCCGCCTGCCTTACCTCGCTCATAGAGCAGATGGCATATAGATCAAACGTCGTGATCTATGAGCTATAGAGCAAATGGTTAATAATGCAAATTGAACTAGAGAAAATGGCCAAAGAGCAAATGGAAATAGAGCAAATTTCGTAGCGCCCAAAAAGCAGAAAGGTTGAACGTTTTTTTCTATGTAAGAATGTGCAAGAATTCTCCCATTCCGCTAGAAGTCCTAATCTAGACTGAAAATATATTTTCCCCTGAATGATCCTATTATCAAAGTAATATTTATCATAATGGTTGAGTCTTCATGACAAACTAAACATTATAAGAATCTGATCTTTAGATAAATTGATATAATGGAAAACTCTAAAAAACCTTTTAGGTTCATACATCTTTTCATATGGTTACATTTTTTCTATACTACTGTATTGATTAATAAATCATCAAGAAAATGTTGCAATAAGGAATAAAAATCTTTGTTTTAATTCAAGGTCTTCTGAAAACTGTTTGCATAGAGCAAATTGATAAAGACGAAAAAATTACTCAAATATATAAATTTTTAAAAGAACTGTAAAGGAAAAATTATAGGGGGTATAGGATGAAACCTGAGAATCTCAGGCGTTAAACAATACATATAAGACATCTATCTGATGTTCCTGTCTCAAGAAATTGATATAAAACTGTGTCAAATTTATACGAAAATTCATATATATATGCAATTTTGTATAAAAGTTGTAGGTTTAAACAGATCATATTAACCAAATACGAAACCAATCTGAAAAAGACTATATCCTGAGAATCTCAGGTTTGCGCCATGTTATAATTGTTTGATTTTATTTCCGTATCACGTGACAACGATACTTCACTGTCATTGGCGGAAGTTCTGGTGACGTAATACGGACTATATGGACTATATCAAATCTGAGATTATCAGGCTCCTGTTGGATATAATTGTTTTCAGATTGGTTTCGTATTATTGTTGAATATGATCTGTTTAATACTACAACTTTTGTACAAAATTGTATATATATGAATTTTCGTATAAAGGAATTGAGTCTTTGCCACAAACTCCGGTTTTAAATCCCTATATCTTAACAACTCAATGACATGTAGACTTTAGATATTTCAAACTTTGACTTCTGTTATATCAAATAATCAAAGTTTGAAATATCTAAGGTTTACATAATTTGGTTGTAGATATATAGATATATATAGGTATTAGAAAATTGGGATTTGTTGCAAAGACTCAATTCCTTTGTCACAGTTTTGTATCAATTTCTCGAGACAGGAATATCAGATAGAAGTATTAAATGAATCATTAAACTCCTAAGATTCTCAGGTTTCATCCTATACCCACTTTAATATTTTTGTTTTGGAGAAGAAAGAAACAATCGTATACATCTGCCATATAGGAACATGACTGTATTTTGAATTACTGAATAAATTCCGAACAGTCGTCTCTAAAATCTCATCCTTTCTATGTAAGTCATTAAAACTAACACCTCGTAATTATAAAATTAAAATCTTCAGAGGGATAATTCGAATTTCACAGTATGTCACCGTTACTTAAAATTACTAAATCTTCAAAGGAGAGTTTTAATATGAAAAATCTAATTTTATATTATTCACTACCTGTACTCGTTATACATCTATGCGTAGGTATTATAACTATAGTATTCACTTTCAAGGTGTATTGTAGAGGTAGAGATCATTACTAACCGTTCAAACAGTTGGCCTTTAGAATACGCTTCCATATACCTTGACGCAATATAGGACACAGGTAGTGTAGGGTGTACGCACAAGATTTCATCCAGGGCTAAATACAGGGTTATCCACAAAGTATGAGACTCCAAAGACGACTTTACGGAACATATTCGTTTTTATCATTTCTTTGGTCAAATCATGGAAAAACCAAATGTGAGAGTTTTAAGGTTTTATTCTTTGTAAATCCCTGCAAAAAAAACAAGGTTCGTAAATTTGAAAGGGTATCGACTGCATTAGGGTTCAATGTTTTTATATGATATGTTTTTAAATTATTGTATATTTTTAAATTATTGTATATTTTCTCTCTCACTTTATTTTTAGAATAACCACCATATCTTAGTTTTCTGGTTTTTTTCTTTTCTCCTCCTTCCATCACCTATCCACACCCCTTCTCCTCTCTACCCACCCTCTCCCTCCTAAAACTTTGTTTTCTTTTTTCATGCATAATGGATGGGTGTTGTATCCTTCCACTTAACTGAGAGTCGGAGCTTTTTATCTTTGTATCTAGAATCTAAAGTGCATTCAGACTAAAATAGAAACCATTATATTTATATCCATGTTTGAGTGCTGTTTTTCTAATTAAATTAGATCAGATATTAGGGGGAGAAAGTTTAACAATAAACCTTTACTATCGTGGTTTCAACAATCCAGAGTATAGAGTTAACCCATTAGTGACGAGACCAGTAACTATTAGTGAAGTTGTTTTAGAAGGATCTTGTCAAAACAAAACTTGATTGTACTCAGGAAAAAATGATATTCAATTAAATTTTTGAATTTTTTTTGTACAGGGTGACCTGTAAAACATGAAAATCTAAAAAACTTTGGTAATTCATAATTATTTAATTATCTTCAAAACTTTACTTTTCATGTTTTAGTTATTTAGATCTTTAAAAGAAGATTCCAAAAATATCTTTAAATTTTTTCTAGCAAAGAAATTGACAATTTTATAGATTCAAAACTAAAATACAGGGTGTTCTTTTGGGTTTTTTCCGAATTCAAAATCTTGTTTTTTTGGGTTTTTTAAAATTGAAAATAAAATAAAAAACCCAATTTTGAAGTTACGTCAAATATAAAATATGTTTTGAAAACAGGAAATCCTAAGGAAAGCGCAGGAAAAGACAAGACAACATTTAGTTTAAGAAAAAAGGCACTTTAAAAAAAAAACCTCACCCGGTCAAAATTGACCTTCTCGTCACTAATGGGTTAATATTTAATACAGGGTTTCCAGTCTCAGCTCCGGGGACTCACGGTCTCAGGTATACCTAGAGATAGACGTCCTTCTCTTCAGTCTTTACCGAACTCGGAGAACTATACGTTCTTCTCTCTCATAACTATCCTGGAGAAATATATTTTTTTCTCTCCAGCTTAGTTCCCAACCCGGAGAACTAAACGCTCTTCTCTCCAATATCATACCGAACACGAAGAACTAAACGTTCCATACTTTTTTTTGTGAATTTGAAGTTGCAAAAATTATGAAGATAAATGATTATATAGCGGAAGAAAACTTTTTATCATAGAAAAAAAAATATAATTTTTTAATATTTTCTGAGCCTTCAATTTCAAATATTTTTATTTTCCATAAAGTGGATTCATTTTGGTTCATAATGGGCTGATTGAGAGAAAACAACAAACTAAAGTAAGTTGGACGCTAGACTCATGATGTACGCTTATCCTTTACTGATTGTATAGACCATAAACTATACCGAGAGCTCACTGCAATGTGTTTATTATAAGTTGATTCTGGCATAACCTATAGTATATCAATATTAATAAACAGTTGTAAGTGTATAGTACAGCTAACTGAGCACACAGGTAGAGAATTACCATCCCCCCTGGTTTTCAATCAAAACTTCTCTTATCGTAGAGTTTTTTCGAAGATCGAAAATGTTCTGAGTTCCTAATTCTAATATTTAACCGGATAAACTAGCTTTTCTCCTTGTTGTGCTAGGGGAGCTACGAGGTTACAAAGGGGTGCTGGGGAAGTTGCATAAGTCTGACTGTTTCCTTCTGTCTAGTTTCCAGTGAGAATCGTGTAAATTTCATAAGTTCTGTATTCTGCATGGCCCTTCTATCAAGTTCTTTCGGTAAAACCCAATTCTTGTAAATATTCTAACTTTTAAGCGTTTCTTTCGCATGTCTTACGCCGCATATAA